ATTATTACAATGTATGGTGATTGTACCCAGGTTAATAATTATCATCAGGATAAGGTAATTGGGCTTCTTCAGTCAGCTTTCTTTGTAACACTTCCTACCGCGCCCTGGCACATGATGGTGCCAAATAAATCATAAATGATATAAGGAATAATAATAATCTGTAGTTGTTTGAAGACCGGAACGTGTACATGGAAAATGTCTTTAATCTGTAAAATATTGTAATAATTCTGTTTGGGGCCAATCAGCACCCCAGGCCGTCCTCGCCTCCGCTTATTGCATCGTCCATCAATATGACACTATGGGCTGACACAGGAATAGCGCGCACCGATAATGACCTCCGGGAGCAGCGGGATGAACGTTCACAATAATCCGCACAACGTCATTTAGAGATTGCCGTGCGATTATATACATTAGAAGCCGCGCAGTAAAAATCCTTATAAAATCCGAGTTCTTATGGAGGTCAGGTACAGAAGAGCGCAAACGACGCAACAAATTACAGCTACGACTTGGGACGATCGGGCCGGCGATACGAGGACCTCTGACACCAGAATTGCTGGTTCTCATGTGTGTCATTTCCTGCCAGCGGGGACAAAAAAAGAACGGGAAAAATTCCAGTTGTCAGCTGAGCGGGGGAGAAAAACTTTACCACTGGCCGGCGATTTTGGCGATTTGACATAAACAGGTGGATATTTTGCCGAGCAGAATGAGCGTAACAAATGTTCCCCATTAGAGCTTGGAGTGTGCGGTGTTGCAATATATTGTTGATAAACAAAAGTCACATGATCGCGGCTGCATGGCTTTAGTTTATCAACAATGCCACAGGAAGCAAGGTCAGCGAGGATTAGGTATTTGAGCACATGACATTTGTTGATAAACAAAGCAATGTGATCAGACATGAAGTGCTGAATCAATATAAATAGACAGGAAACAAGGATGTATTTGTGATCTTTCCCCTAAATTATTAGTTGATGTTCTAAAATATTTTATAACAATTAGGCCCCGTTCACACCCGGGCGGTTCAGCCACACAGTTCCGCCGACATGTGATGGAACCGCATCAGCACAGTTCTGGGGGTTTTTAATTACGTTTCAGCGAAGAAACGCGATTAAAAACTCCCAAAACCTCCGCTTTGAAATCAGCGCGGAAACCGCACTGATTAGCAGCCGCCCTGGTGTGAAGGGGCTCTAAAATAAAAAAGGGGAAAATATATTAATACAAATATAATAGATTTCCCTGACATGTTTAATGTGTATCATAAAGAACAATGAACTGTCACAGATCTCCTGTAGCCTCGGCTATCAGTCTATAATTAGGGTGTCACCAGGGTGTCCCCCCACTTTTTTGGCCTGCGCCTGGCTCCAGAAAGGTTATAGATACCTTTATTCCTCATGCTGGTTTCCTGTGACGCTCTGAATGCTCCTCGCTGCCACAAGCAGTGGTATCAGCAGAGATTATTGATTCATTAAAAAATCAATTAGATACCATCCTCAGTGACCGTAACATGCAGGGGTACAGGTACTCTTAAAGACTAGACCACACAGGGACTCATATACACACACGCATGCACAAAACACAGACACACAAATGTTGAACGTGACGGACCTGTGTCTTTATTCAGCTTCAAATACTATGTAACTATGATATACAACTTCCCAAACCTCCCGTATACAGAAGTATTACACTTCAGATCAGAAATCACATGCTGTCCCTTAATAAAGTGACATCTGGTTGCTACAGGTTACAGCTTTGTGTCACGTCATCACTGAACTCATAGACCTGTGTGTAGTATTTGAGGGTCTTACCTTGCCTTCGTTTGGAATTCAGGTGATTGACATTAGACACAACGAACGGGGTGGAGAAGGAGCGGCTTTTACTGATGTTCCCCAGAAGGTTGTTGTTCCACGAGTCGGAACCGCCGCTGCAGAGAGAAGATCGGATCATTAACAGCGTTGTATCAACTTGGACACCGATCAAATGAAACATTACATAAAGATCCGGCAACTGGAATTGTAACATAGTGATTGGGTGACACAAAAATCCATAACCGCCAGATTTCAAAAGTTGGCACCATCTGAACATGGACTTATCACTCTTAGGCCCCGTTCCCACTGCGCGATATGCAAATCGCGCGTTTGTTGCGCGATTTGCATATTGCGCGACATCGCGAGATTTGCCGCGCGATGTCGCGTTCAAGCTTGCATTGAGCAATCTTGAATCGCGGCTAAATCCGCTCCAAAAAGGGTCCTGCTGTAGCGACACACGACCCGCGACAGCAGGACCCTTTGCCCCATTGGATTGCATTGGAGCGCGATATCGCACGGTAATTTGCCGCGATATCACGGGAATTACCGCGCGATAAATCGCTCAATGTGAACGGGGTCTTAGAGGACATCAACATCCAAAGATCCCCCACAGAGTGACCCCAGTGAATGTATCAGGCAACTGTCACCAACTCCTCATGGCACCTTAGAGGGCCAGTACTTGGAGGGCCGGTACTTAGAGGGCCAGTACTTGGAGGGCCAGTACTTGGAGGGCCAGTACTTGGAGGGCCAGTACTTGGAGGGCCGGTACTTAGAGGGCCGGTACTTAGGCAGGCTGTATCTGCATGCTGGGACCACCCTGGGTAATGCCCCCATGTAATACTAAGCCTCGATGTTTGAAAGAACTGAAATCTAATGAATGAAAGGGGCGGGCCAGGAAAGGGTAAATCCAATTACCTCGAGCAAGTTGTGTCGGTAGGCTTAATACTTCCGCTGCGGTCTCGCCTCACCGGCGCCGGTTCAAGGGTCGGTAATCCAGTGGCGGAGGTGGTTGTGGTCCAGGTTGAAGAAACTCGGCGTAATAGTCCCGATGGAAGACTTCTCCGTAACCTCTATAGATGTGTGAGGGGGACACAAGGAGAATGGACATCGCACATCAACAACTGAGAGACAACTTCTTCATTTCTATTCATAGTACAGAATCTAAACTAGACGCGTAACCCCCCAAAAATGGGTTTGGTTTCGAAAACACTCAGGTTTTTATTATTTTTGTTTTTTGGATTCCGGATCCAAAGTTCGATTTGGTTTGACATTCATATTTGGATCCGTTCGAATTTTAATTTTTCGCTTTGGATTGATCCGGATTTTATTGTTTTTCACTTCGGATCTATTCAGATGGAGCTCTCTAAATAAAAATGAACTGATTTTTTTTTTGTGGAAGGGTGGGGGGGTTGATGATTTAAGTTCATACTGGTCATTTTAGTCCGTACTGGTCATCTTAGTCCGTACTGGTCATCTTAGTCCGTACTGGTCATCTTAGTCCGTACTGGTCATCTTAGTCCGTACTGGTCATCTTAGTCCGTACTGGTCATCTTAGTCCAAACTGGCCATTTTGGTCCTTATCTTAGTCCGTACTGGTCATTTTGGTCCTTATCTTAGTCTGTACTGGTTATCTTAGTCCATACTGGTCATCTTAGTCCATACTGGTCATCTTAGTCCATACTGGTCATCTTAGTCCATACTGGTCATCTTAGTCCATACTGGTCATCTTAGTCCATACTGGTCATCTTAGTCCATACTGGCCATTTTGGTCCTTATCTTAGTCCGTACTGGCCATTTTAGTCCAAGCTGGTCATCTAATTCCATACTGGTCATTTTGGTCCTTATCTTAGTCTGTACTGGTTATCTTAGCCTGTACTGGTCATTTTAGTCCATACTGGTCGTACCGATTTAGTTTGGTTTTGAATTAAATTCAAATAAAATTCAGAAGGAAAATTCAGATTTGTTCAAATTTGGAAATTCATCTGGATTTTCATTTGGAACACGTCTAATCTAAACAACCAGCAAGTCTGGGGCCATTACCCATCCGCAACCAATTCGGATTTTATTCTTTGTGAGATGGAACAAAGCATCTTAGTGGTTGCTATCAGCAACGGCTCCACTTGGAGAATCGACCCCGGGAAGGAATGCGTATTGGAGCGATCACCAGGGGAACCAGTGAGATCCCAACTCACAGCCAGCTACAGAGAAACTGTATAAAGACGGCAATTTGGTGGGCTACTACGGCCCTCCGGCTGTGCTTTAATGACAAATGCCATCATGCCTCTGGGGGTCATGCCTGTGGCTGTCAGAGACTTGCAATGCCTCATGGGACTTGTAGTTCCACAACAGCTGGAAGGCCAGAGTTTAGCTATCCCTGATATACCCGTTATAATTGGATGTAACAAAATGCTCATTTTGAAGAACTGTATTAGCACATATGTAGAATGTATACAATGTATCAGTTCTGACCTTTGGTATAGTCATCTTCTCCCCCTTCTCAGAGCCCTCCTCGGAGTCGGAACATGCAGAGTTCTCACTGAAGGTGACAAGGGGGTTCACCCTGGCCTTGTGGATGGGCTGGAAGTTGAGCTGCGTGCTCAGTAGGTTGCTGACCGCCCTCAGGGAAGTGCATACGTGTGGCGGTAACGATGGCTCAGCTAAGAGATCCGTGATGAGACCATGAGCTTCGCCCATAACAGCGATATCTACAGTGATGGTGGTACCTGAAGACTGGAGCAGAACGACAAATTATACATCAACGTACCCCCAAATCAGCTCTATCCCCCCCTCGCCCCCCTCTTCCCAGATATCATCCGATTCTCCCCGATTCTCATATGTATCAAGTCAAACATGGAGGAACCCGGGAAGATTCACAATTATAGCGTGCAAAGCCCTCGGACATAAAAATGGAAACCTCAGATGAAACCAGCACTGACGCACAAAACTGTCTCTGACAACAACAAAAAATGGGTCCAAATGTTTCCTAAAGAGTATTTTATCCAGAACTGCAAATAGCTTAAAAACAAAAATACGCCACAAAGTATTATACAGAAATGAAGTCATTTGATACGCACATTAAAGCTGATTTGCTAAGGCTGGATTAGCATTTGTGCTCAATTTCTTTCCACTGAAATCAATAAAAACACATCAAAAAGCATCTTCAGCCATGTGTCAATGCATAACGCATGTTAGCGCACCATGATGCATGCCAATGTGTGTTATGACGTACATTGACATCCAACACAATACATTAAATGCACATTTAAAATACTCGACGCACGTTGAAGTGCTTTGATGGCGCTTGCATTGATATCAATAGGGAATGCATTGGGGAGGAATGCAGAAGTGTGAATCCAGACGCACGAAGCTCCTTTTACACGGGCTGATTCGTACACGGACCCCCTCCTGATCGGAGCAGCAAGGAGCGGATGTCACCTCTGTAACATTGGTGTCCCTCCTGTGTTTTCCTCCACCTTGCGATGGAGGAAAGAAGTAAAGCTGCCGGACCCCCATGTCGGTCTATGGGCAGTCAGATGTAAACAGACCTGTGTCCATTTACACCAGATCACCCCTCCGATCCGGCACAATCCAGTCCGGCAAAATGGAACTCGTTTGTTTTCCTGGACCTGGCCGGAGTATCCGGGTGTAAAACAGATGCCTGTCCGTTTACACCCGGCTGCCCGTAGACTAGCATTGGGCGTCAGTTTTACAGCGGGCCCAATTGGACCGCCCATGTGAAACTTGAGAATTTTCACTCACAATGTGTGAATGTTCACTTCAATTCTCCAATTATTCCTGTTCACTTTGAACATCCAATCCCGTGCAGAGGCTTTTCACCTGATTGGATGATTGAAGGGAATATTCGCACCATTTTTCGAGTGATGTTTAGTGAGTCAGCCACTGTGTGTAATGACATTGCCATTCAGTCAGAGATGGACCCCGGGCTGGTATGTGGCTAGTGACAACCTTATCTGAAGATACAATGCAGGAAAGTCCTCCCGCACTCCTTACTGGTATGTGCCTTGCGGTGAGTGCTGACTGCGGATGGCGCCGCTTCAGATTCAAGTATGTCACCAGCACGCCGTGGTTAAATCTTTAAGAAGTGATCATTTTATTGATGCACACACATCTTGTCAGATAGCAATGTTTCGGGGCCACTCGGGGTCCCTTCATCAGGCATGACAAAGTGTTCGATCCACTGTGAGTTAAATACACAACACCAAAATCCAATAACAAATCAAAAAAAGTCCAAAACACTCATCCGCTCCCCCATGACATCACAGTGATGTCATATTCCCGCCATGTCTGTGGGAGGAGCTCTGCGCTCTGGGAGTACTTTGCCATAGGAGGATTTTTGTGCTATGGAGGTTCTGTGCTATGGGAGGAGTTCTGTGCCATGGAAGTGTTTCTGTCTGTTGGGAGGACCTCTGTGCTGTGGGTGGAGTTCTGTGCTATGCAAGGAGTTCTGTCTGGTGGGAGGAGCTCTGTCTGGTGGGAGGAGCTCTGTGCTGTGGGAGGGGTTCTTTGCTATGAGAGTTCTGTCTGGTGGGAGGAGCTCTGTGCTGTGGGAGGAGTTCTCTCTGGTGGGAGGAGCTCTGTGCTGTGGGAGGGTTTCTTTGCTATGAGAGGAGTTCTGTGCCATGGAAGGATTTCTATCTGGTGGGAGGAGCGCTGTGCTGTGGGGGGTGTTATGCGCCATGGGAGGAGTTTAATGCTGTTGAAGTAGTTTTATGCTACGGGAGGAGCTCTATGCTGTGGGAGGAGTTTAGTGCTATGGAAGTAGTTTTATGCTATGGGAGGAGTCCTGTGGCCTGCAAGTGAAGCTCACTGCTGGAGGTTTATTCGCCTCTCATATTCTGGGTGTGGCTTCTAAGAACAGCTAATTTTCATATTAGCAAAGCAGATTCTGAGCTAGATCCTTCTAGATCAGAGGTAGGCAACCTCGGCACTCCAGCTGTGGTGAAACAACAACTCCCATCATGCCTTTGGCCACTGCCTTGGGACATGTAGTTCCACAACAGGTGCAGTGCTGAGGTCACCTCTTGGAGCAGACAGAACCACACTTTATATGGGTTTTGGTATTTATCTTATTTTCACCTCTGCAGCCACGCAGACTGGACAGTCAGAGATACCAGCAATCTACAATTATAGTTTCCCGCCCCGTTCCCTGCAATCAGCGTCTGGGTGCACATCGCGGCATGGAGCAATGGCTGCCCACAAGGAAGAGAGAGGGGGGGCTGCGCTGTTCCCACGACCACCAAACGCTGAGAAGTGTCAGCTCTGTCCACACTGCAGATCGGTCACCCAGACAGCCACGCAATCTATCTCCCCGCTGTACAAATATTGCCTGGCCCGGAGCGCAGCCACTTGGCCGCAGTTCAGCGTGTGAATTCCCGATGGCGCGGCTCTGCGCTGTGACTGTGAGAGTAACATTGGTGCCAGAGACGCAAAAGAGGGAGACAAATTCCAGTCTGTGAAAGGAGGGAGATGCAAGACGACATCCTCCGCGTTCTATAGAATGATCGTGTGCACCTTACTGTATAACTGGTAACAAATTGTTGAGTGCGTTTGTCGTTTGTTTTGCTTTACCGATTTGGTGCAGCGACGCATGGGGTTTCTCAGCTGCCAATGGGATGTGCGGGATCCCTTGTGTGTTTCTGTACCTTTAAGGAAGTGGGGCGTCCTCCTGACAGGCCTGCACCCAATTTGATATCTTCTGCCCCCATGTGCTCCAAGATGGAGACTCTCATAGTTTAGAGTTAGGACCGCACTATAAGAGGTGCCTTGGCGCGGCAGTGCGGCTTTCACATCCTTTGCAGAAGACGTGTATCCAAACCTCTGTCATTGTCCTTAGTGGTGAGACAAGTTGTTTTACATGCTGGTTTGTGAGTGTGCCATGATGCCTTTCTACTGTAGAATGATCTGACGCCCTGCACACCCATCATCATTACCCCCCAACAAAAGGAATGTCGTCCTCTCGGATGGTACATGTAATCTGCTCCCTGTGCATTCCCTGCTCTAGAAATGTTGGTACTCTCAGAGATGGACATTTTCCAGCCTCCGGTATTTCAGGAATAATTGTTAGTTGGCAGAAATTTTCCTACCAAGGCTTTCTGCCTGGGGGTATCTATAGGCAGACCACCAGCCTAAGGAGTGGACAGGACATATTACATCATGGAAGGGGAGTGCCCTCTAGATCTGCTCCTAGACACTGGTTCCCTATACCACCCCCCACAGAGAAGTCTCCCTTCTCTTGCTGCATTCTCCATAATGCAATATCTAAAAAAAAGCAAAGAAAGAGGCATCTGCTGAGTTTGGATTTCCCACCCGGAGAGGAGAAAGAAGCTGAGGGTTCATTTCACTGATGTCCACACCCATGACTGAAGTTCTGGTTCTGGGTGGACGGAGCACTTTACACAGCGTCCCTGAGACAGTTCTGCCGCCTCCATCGTCCCAGTGATTGTCCCCCCCAGCAGATGGCGCCGTCCTCCCTCCAATCCAGCCGTCTGAACGGTTTTCTGGCATTTGCCATGTGGACGGAGCAGACTCTGAGGTCGGAAAGTTGTGTTTTCACTTTGGGGCCTTTTCCCTGTTCACGGCGGATATAATTCTCACCTGTGATAATATTTCATTGGGAATCGCCCAGCAGAAGCTCTCAGGACAGAGCCGCCTGGACATGAGCAGGGAATCCGATATCCTGCTAAGCGCTTCCTGCACGCAGCTTAAGGGGAACTGCACCCCTGGAATTCAGAAAACGGCTACTCTCTGAACAGTCCTGCAGTTGCGGGGGGGAGGGGGATTTGAGTTCACTGGCTGCATGCTCCAGATCAGTGACTACCGAGGTAGCGAAGCCGGGATAAGCATGACACCTTAGAGCTAGCACCTTTCCAAAGTCATCCTTGGAGCTCCTATCATTAAATCCTGCACTACACTAATGGTCGGTAACCAATCCGTGGGGGTTCTGATCACCTGAAAAGCCGAGCTGAGCAAAGTTAAAGAGCCTCACACAAAGAGAAACACCGTGACAGCTAAAGCCGGAAAGCTGAAACTGTCACAAGGCAACACAATGGGGTCTGTTTATAAACAAGGCCATTCGTGAATAGCTGTGAGTAGGGCTGCAGCTAACGATTATTTTCATAATCGATTAGTTGGCCGATTATTAAGTTCGATTAATCGGTTAATCGGATAGAAGAAGAAAAAAAGGCTCCAGTGATGGACTACTAGTTTCTATTGAGATTGTAGTCCATCACAGGAGCAAGCTTGGCGCGGTGGTGTGTGTAGCGTGGATGCGGGCGGGTCTGGCAGCGGCGAGCGTTCGGTGGGGCACGCAACGTCCTCTGTCATTGTCCTTAGTGGTGAGACAAGTTGTTTTACAAATCGATTATTGAAAAAGTTGACAACTTTTTCAATAATCGATTATAATCGATTATGTCGATTAGTTGTTGCAGCCCTAGCTGTGAGCATTTCGTTTTGTTGAATAATGGCAAAAACGAACGTTCTGAATAAATGTCCTTTTCAGGTCAATTGTATTGTATGCTAGGGATGCACCGGCATTGGTGCAGATGCCGAGTATTTGGGCGACTACTCGTACCAAATGCTCTGATGCCTAGCACGATACTTGTGCTTCACGCTGGGCTACACGCTGCCCGGCTTCCTGATTGGTTGGGAAGCTGGCCAATCAGGAAGGCGGGAGCTGTGTAATAACGTGATGAGGGAGCATGGAGCTGGCT